CCAGCTGCCACCGTCTTCTCCACGGCCAAATCGGTCCCCACCGCGGTCTCCCCCAAATCCACTACCGCGGCTACCACGGTCACCACGCCACTGATCTGACTGTTCACTGCGCGATGGCTCACGGTCTGCAAAACGGTCACCACTAAAGCGGTCGCCACCGCGGCCACCTCCGCGATAATTCCCGTCATCATCATCGGCACGTGCTCGCGGTCCCGACGGCAGCGCAGCCTCCGGAATATACGCCGCCGCCTGATCACCTAAAAACTCCCCTAGTCCAATCTTCTTACCGCGAACCATTATCCTTTCGTTTTGTCTAGGAACGTCGACAGAATCTGGAATGGCTGGTTGGTGAATCCGTTACGTAAATTACACCGCGAATTTCTCAAATAAATGCAGTTTTCTTTCTACATCAGGATACACTCATCTATGTATTAGACACCATGTAAGGGTAGGATTTTTCCAAATAAATCTTCAGTCCTCTCAATTTAACAGAATAAGATGCAACATCATCGAGTGCAATTTCCACATGAAATGGATTGACACATCTAAGCTCAGTCTTGGAAGTGCCCACATGCTGGAATCTCCATACCGTAATTCCAAATAAATTGCCAAATTGAGAAATAAAATCTTGGAAAATTTTATTGATCGGGCATGTAATTTTGTAAACAGGATGTACGAATATGGCGATAGTTTCAGTGGTTATGCTTCTCAGCTGCACCGTTGAACAAGCGATACAACTGGATAAGAACAGTATGAGTATGGGGTGGGACATTCCGTGGTCAAATATACTAGCAAACGGGTATTATGATTCCCTAAAGTGCTTGACATAATTCGCAAAATCTTAGCTGGCATTGGTTGTGTCGAGTGTAACCGGTCCATTCCAACCCTCACTGATTACGATACGTCGATTAAACGACCAGAGATTGAGCAGTTATTATGATTAAATGAGTGCAGAGTGTTGGTGATAAAAGTACTCACATGTTTGAATGCAGACCAGAATGTGAAGATAGTCTAAGATCTCTTGATCACATCTAAAAATCTTTATATCACCACTGATGTTCTCGCTTCGGTATTTCTCTCTATATAGTTACTCTTCCCTTCGCTCCTGTTCAAGCTCTCCGTTGCTATACGATCCCTGACTTTTATCAGGTTATGGACTCCAGCATCAGATCAAGCAGCTCCTCTGTCGGAAAATTCAATGGCGACAGCTATGCGACATGGATCCGCTTGATATATGGTGTGTTTTTGGTCAAGTCGGTGTAGCATGTCGTAAGCCCAGAGACGACCCCAAATGTCACGGATTAATGCCGTAAGAATGAGTCGATTAAGTCAAGCAATTCCACATTTGATGAAATGCTGCTCCGCAGATTGTTGACAACTACGAGTAAGTGCGGGCCATGTGGACACGTCTGAAGACGCTGTACCGTTGCCGCAGAAGGTTGGTCGTAAATAATCTGGCGGGAATGTACCAACGCAATGGAAACAAGCGGATAGGCTGCACCTTTTCAGGAAGCGGCAAAAAGACCCGACCCAATGCACAGGGACGAGGATACGCGCGCAAAAACCATACCAATGCAGAATTGCGGCGTGAAGTGAGCTGACACCCTACCAAACGGCCAACATGCCATATATATCCGAGATCAAGCATAAAGTGAGCGGATCGTTTGAAAATACAAGGTGTGTCACGTGGCATATCATTTCAAGCAGAAGTATGACATCGACTGCGTGACAGTGCTTGATGCTTTTCAAAATACAAACGATATTCATTCGGCAATATGATTTTGCTTTGGTGGATCGAATTGATTGATTTCTTGGTCAACAAATTGAGAAAACAGCATTCTTGCACGGCGCGATACATAGGTCATGTGCTGTGCCTGAAGGTGTCGAGCTTGATGGCGATTTCGGCTGCCTGGCTACTACAGGGATCTAAGTCGCAGGCAATCTAAGTCGCTTTGTTTGAGCGGGATGAGCATTTCGAGGAGTTTGTGTGCTCTACCGGCTTCAAGGTTTGATCCACGACTCTTGTCTTTATATCAATGAAATTTTGATCCCGCTGAAGGCTGCATGGACAAGAGGGTGCATCCGAAAAAATATATTATGCCACTTTCCGTCGGTCGGTCGAGTCTCTCGGAGAAAGTTAACGTGCCGTCATCACCGAAAGGCCCCGGTGGTTCTATGATCTGTCAACTAGACTCGATGAGAAAGGGGATATTTCCATTTGTAGCGAATAGTTGGCGTGATCTGCTCACCAAGGCTGTATTCAATAGCTGGTTAGGTGATATTGTAACCCATATATCATTTTGGATAGGCACTGCGTGGTTTTACGGGTGTTGGTGATGACATGTTGATGATAGGCGGCTCAGTGGATAAACTGCAAGCCCAAGAACGACATCAACAAGCGATGACAGATAGTGGCAAGACGTTAGTACAAGACATCAAACTGTTTCAAAATGACGTCGGCAGTGTAACGATAATCTAACACTGCTACTTGAACGAAAACAAAATAATTTTAGATTATGACCGCCAAAAACGTACGTAAATACTTGAAAGGCTCTCCATTTCGATTCTGGGTGAAGCGTACGGACACATCCTCTGTGCGTTTGTTCAGGAAGGCACAAAGCTCCCTCTGTGCGAAGTTCACGGCAATCCCGTTGAGCTGCTTGGTAACACTTATCGTCAATCGGCGACTGGTTTTGATCAGATTTTATCATATGTAAGGATAGTATAAGAGCTATCCATCTAACTATCCTCGGCCCATTAAACACGCTTGATAGGATTCTGAATTGTTGTCGGGGGGGTAGCAAAGCTGGCAGCACAAGAATCGAAAATGATAATTGTTCGCCTGAAAATATTTTTTTATGTTGAAATGCGCTGGTGAGACACCATAAAATACTCCGACGGGACAGTCAATAGTAACCCAATCAGCTCCTACCGTGAGACCAAGTATGTCAAACGACTATTCATTCAAGGGCAGAAAGAAAAAGTATCTCTGTGAAGAAGTGAAATAGATATGGCCAATATTGCCATTTTTTACTAGGTTTCAAACACAAGTGGTCTTTAAGCTAGGACTTACGTGGGACTGGGCACTTACGTGTAGTTCCTATGAAGAAGAGGCATTTCCGGCTTGGGTGTATAAGCGAGCATATGCTGCTGTTGTTTGCAACGCGCATCATGTGCGATTAAGATCCTTGCCCACAAGTCCGCGTTGGCGAGAAAGTCAGATTATAATTAAGTGTTTTGTGCTGTTACCGCTGTGATAGCGCCAGACTTTCTACCGGGGGTGAGAGTGATTACCGTCTTCGTGGCGCTCTCGGTATCAAAACGCAGCATTTTGCCTCTCCTCAATCTCACAACGCAAATTCTTGTGCTCCAATGTAAACGAGTCAAGTACTTAAATTACGAGAGCTTGTATACTTATTTGCAAGCGATGCTTGATCAATAAACCGCCTATTTTAATGCTATATTGTGGGTGTCGCGTTGAATGCGGAGCACAGCCTCTGTGTCGAGGGGCTGGTTGGAGAGCAAAAAGTAGAGACTTTATGAGTGCGCCAAAGGCGATGGTCCTCAGCCCACCCAATTAGGGCAAATCAGTCGCCTAGCTGTTGAACAGCACCGTGACCTTTGTAGAAGTTATCTTTTTAAATAATCACTCACTGTCTCTTCTTTCCCAACTAAAATGTTCGAACGGTCGTCCTTCTACCAACGATAAGCCTGCCACCCCCTCGCGGAAAAATCAAAATTCAGCAGACGTAATCTGGCCAACTGAGTTTCATTGGATAGTTTGGAGGTCAAGTGTTATGCAAATCAGCCCAAAGTGGGCGACCAATTCCGGGGAAGAAAGGTTCCATATTCCAGGGTCGTTGGTTATCAACATCGCTTTGTGAGGCCTTGGGGAGTCCCGATAAACTCAGGTGAATCCAACAGATACCAAACACGGATATATACTGATGCTTCTTGTTGCGGGACATGCCAATATAATTGCAGTTCTTACGCATGTTTCAATAGCTTTGACAGCGCGGGTATTAGTAAGCGCTCATGGAGGCCATGATATCCCACGAACTGCTGTAGAAAACTCCGAGCAAGATATTGGGGTAGTGGCAACTTTTCCCCAGGGTCTGTCTAGCGCACCGGTATGTCCACTCGTTTGATGGCGCAGCTTCAGGTCACATCATCGGTATGCACAAGCCTACTTTGGCATAATTAACATTAATTGTTAAGCAAAGTAAGGACTGTCGAGCTTGAATAATCACACCTAGCATTTGTGGTATATGCTGTTTACTAAAAGATAGACAAGGATGTCGTGGCCGCCCGAGAAAGATGCTTCATTGAATAAGCAAGTTGATTTTATCAATTATAACAATTATGAACTACTATCATGACGGGAAATAACGTCGTGTTCTGGCTGTGCCAACTACTTGCGCTAACGTGGTGCAAATTACGCCGATAAAAGCCTCATGAATATTTTGACTTTGTCCTTCCATACTCAAACAGGCCATTCGATGCCATCTGCAATGAATCGGCCTTAGCCATAGGCTGTGTTTTACTTCAAACAAATACCAACGGAAATGAGCATATCATTGTGTGTGATTCTCAGCGGCTAAAAGCGCCAGATAAGCAGTGATAAACTCCATGTCAAGGTACCACAATGAAGTATGCTCTTGTCGAACCCAGCGTTCACCTGCTTGTCTCCAAGCTATTTGTGATACTGATATAGATCACGCATTGTTCCACACAGCGCCGTCATTTACCACAGGTTTCGCCGAGACAGGCAAGATGATCATTATTTGCTGCCCAGTTTACTTTGGATGAAAGGAGTCAGCCGGGTCAGCCGATGTGGTGGCTTATATGTGCTTGCGACACGCATTTATGAAGGTCGCATCTCACGGTCATGACATCGCGCATTGATAAGGCATTATATACAACGTCCGAGTCGGATTCAGTTCGAGTTAGGTTGTCAAAATTTTCAAAAGTAAATAGTCTGAAGCCTGGATGTTGATTAATCGACGCGTCAAGGTTTTCTTTGCATAACAATTTTGTTCCATGGCTTTCAGTATTACAGCTCCGACACGCTAGTTACACAGAGTGTGACAGTACCCCACACCGATATCTCCGAGTACAAGTACTGCAAGATACATATCGTTCCCATTGGGAGTCACCTTGGTAGGCCAAAGACGTACGTAAGTGGGTACTATACACTAATGGCTTAACATATAAAATGGGTAAACACTTATGCATATCCGTACCATAGGTACCAACGAGTTAAACATTCGTCAGAAGTTTAGACACCCTTGGGCAGTTTGCCAGTTTTGGCAGAACATTGATGATGTGACGGGGTTACGCGTACCCTGAAATGAAGAAGTGGGTCGCACACGATGGTGTGGCTATACCTTAACAAGAAGCCACTACGTGGCGGAAACGCCAATAGCTATGTGTTTTAATCAGGTTTTACTATCTAATCAGGAAACCCTATAGATATAGATATAGATATAGACGGCTCTGCCGCAAATATAACAAATAAAATATAGTCTGGATTTTGAACGGAAGAGTGTATTTGCCTTGGGTAAAGGTTTTGGATACTCTTGGAGGTAGCGGATTACGATCCGCTGTACTCATACTGGTTCTAGCATAGAGTGTAATGTCAGTGACCTTAGCTTAGCTTCCTCCAAGCAAAGAGCCACGGCTGCATTGCTGCACTTGGTAGCCTTTGTAGTCAATCTACTCCGAGTCGTTACGACTGTTGTTTTGTGAGGATGGAACAATTTTCTATTTGCCCCAAAGCAGGCAGGACGAGCTTAAAAGCTGATGTCCCTGCTCGGCACTAAGGGCGTGTAACACCTTGTTTCGCAAGGACCCGAAGCGATAATCGCGCGCCTGGAGACGATTCCGAGCTCTGTAAATGCTCTGCTAGACCACCTACAGCAGCATATGTCACCGTCGACTGCGTCCATGACGCCACCGTCGACGACGGAAAACCTTCCGACCCAGGCCGCTCATGATGAGCGCTATGACCTTGGAGAATAAGGATGGAGATAATCTCTTGCTCTGGGTGAGAGAGGCCGAGATGACTATGGCATCCGCCATGCTCCAGAACGAACAGCAGCGCGTGGCGCTAGCTATCTCCATATTCGGGGGTCCAGCGCGAGAATGGGCACTGACTTGCGGCATTTCGGTTGAAGCGGCGTTTCCCTCCTGACCGGAGCTGAAGCTGCATTTTTTCAGCAGTGTTCTTGCCGGCTGTCCAGGTATATTGCGTGCGATCTCGTTTTCTTGCCGCCCGACAGGGCAAGACGAAATTGGTGGACTTTGATGAAGAGTTGTGTATTCTCATTGCTGGGATGACAACTGATCCTCCCCCCGAGGCGGTCATAGTAACCGTCTTTATGGATGGTCTCCGCACTGGCGTGGCCAGAAGTCTTTCGTGTGCATCCGCCTTCTTAGATGAAGCGTTGAATGTGGCGTTGAATGCCGAATTCAACTGTTAGTCGGCACGACTTGGTTGGAATGCACACCATAGTAGCTCGTCGACCGGGCCTGAGCCAATGGATGTCAACTATGCTGAGAAAGAGGAGGCAGAGCTCCGAGCTGCCAGGAAGCGTTCGAACACCCGACGGCGTTTTGTCTGTGGAGACACCCGTCGGTTTGTCCCCTGCGCAAGACGGATCAAGGTCCATCGAACCGACGTCCCGCTTCTCACCAGTCTGATTTGTTGCGGGGGCACGACAACACTTAGAGGACGCAGAACACCATACTGGGGAAAACTTGAGTGCTGTTGAGCCTCAAAGAGGTAGAGGTCAGCAGGGCCAGCCCCGAATAGCTCCGTACTCTTGAACACGGAACGTGTATGCAAGCCGGGCTTGCTGGTCGTAAAAGCGACCGCGAAGTACTTTGGGAAGCCATGGAAGATCCTTATCGATTCTGGGGCATCGGGCAATTATGCTCTACCTTCCGTGATGGAAAGTAGTCAGCTGTATGCTGAGGCGCTGCAAGCGCGGTTGAGTGACACCTTCACTGTTCACTTAGCGACGGGGACTTGCCGAGGGTTCCCTTGGACCTAGGTGTCAAGTTTCTCAATTTCGATAGCGTGGAACGCAGTGTAGTCTAAGACTTGGATACAAGGTAGGGTCTTATCTTTGGCATGGCACGACTGGAACACCATGAGCCATGGATTGATAGGAGGTTGTGGACCTTGGGCGTTAAGCGCATATCTCCTGGTGGAGGTTTGGTAAGTCATGAACCCACCTTTGCTCAGAAGTAAAAGCGCTATTGGTTCGGGCACTGAACCCGAACGGTCAATGTGCTGAGTACCGGAGTATCCGAGTTGTCAAACACCGAAGGTGTGCTGAACAAGCATATATCGCGGGATGAACGTGAAGTGGAACGTAACCCACTGAGCGCTGCTCAAGTATCGGAGCAATTGCTGCATGCCATGCGTAATATTGTAGGCCGAGGGCCGAGGCATCGAGGGGGACGCCCCAGTGATGCACGCGGAGTGGCACGCAATTCACTGAGCACTGCCCACGTCTCGAAGCAGTTGATGCATGCCAAGAGTGACATGGCTGGACGCGTTCCGAGGCATCTTGAGCGTGGCCCTTCTGATGCACGTGAA